AGGAAGAAAAAAAAAAAAAGACAGGAAAAATGTGATAAAATAAAACAAGCATGTATCAGCCCAGTTGTTGCCATAACTGACCACTACATTATATATTTAACATTTAAATAACGCATTTTGTACTCTTCTGTCTTTTCAAGTTTCAGAGCAATACTGGGTGAGAGAGAAATTTTAAAATCTACATGTACTTGTGTCATATCCTTTGTTACTTACACAAAGATGTTACCATAGTACATCTTGTCTTTCCTACATGACATTGTTTACCACTGGGAAGGTGAGATCGTTACATGGACTGAAGCGGCTGCCAGAGGCGCCTGATAATGCTGACGTCCGATCTCAACCTTATCATTGTAACTAGACACGTTTGTTGTTTAGAGTGCTTGAGACTTTCTTTCTTTCTTTCTACCCTGACACCCCTCTCTCTTAACTGCGCCCTTGGTCATCATAAACAAGGTTATACATTATTGAGGAGAAAACCAAAAGGGAAAAGAGAACACATTTCTCTTGTAAATTGAGTTTCAAATACTTGAAGAAGCTTTGAAAAAACCTTAACTTACTGCTCCACGAATATCTTGTGGCGCCCAAGGTTCTTCATCTTCAATGTCCTCCTTAAAGGGAGAAGAAGAAGAAAATATTAACTTGTCCAACCGCGAAACGACAAAACAATTGTTTTAACTGATTCGCCTGAGTAAGGAAGATTTATGCTCCGGAAACCAGGGATAAGCCATACGCAGCTGTGCGTGTCATTCTCGTATGCAAACTTTTAAGCTTAAAAGCTTTTCACCTTCGCGAGGCACTTTTTGAAATACTAGGCAAACAACAAATACCTCTTCTAAACTGACTCCACCGTTTGTTTCTTCGGCTTCATCTCCACTTTCATGTTCCATTTCTCCCCCGTTCGCTCTTTCGACATTTTGCATTCCTTCCAACGCTTTACTATCCCCGGGATTCATGCTACAAACATCAACAAAACAAACGACCTTTATCAAGTTTACTTGAGTTGAACGTTTAATTAGCAAAGTTTGAATGATTACAATTTCTCAGTGCTTGTTTTGAATCATAGAAAAGCTATAATGAAACAAAAACTTCTGATTAGCATCCACAGTGATGGTTATTGTAAATCCTTGAATTCCAACAATTACATTCTGACTCTGCCGACTTTTTTTTTTTTTTTTTTTGTTTTCTAACAAATTCTCCAGTCTCATGTAAGAGCAGTTACCATTAAATAGGGAGCCTAAATACAAACGTTTTTGAGACGCAGACGGCAGCCGGAAGTCGAAAGCTTTTCACCTAACGATTGCATTTTTTTTTTCTGTTGCGTTTGGTATAAGATGTTACAACAAAGACATTTCAGTTGATTGGTTGATGTCAGCGCACACCATCAGTAATAGCATTCTTCTCTCAGTATTCTTCTGCATCTCAAAAAATGTCTCCGCTTAAGCCTCCTTATGAGACTCGTCTCACCTCAGTGCCTGGGTGTATTGGTCCAGTGCTCCCTGATAATCACTTGTCAGTGCTAGATAATCTCCTAACAGCTGGTGCAGTCGTGCTGTACGGTCGTGACTCATGTGTTTACGTAACCTGGAAAAATAACAGAAAACCTTGTTAAGAAACCCAGCCAAAACCGTCATTTACTACGTTCTTATAAGAAGCTAAATAAAGAGGTGGCATTTACGGAAAACGTCAGGTAAAGGATCTTTCCTTGTGAGTGGCCTGATTCTAAGCGCCTGTGTTGAAAACTACTTGGCTTTACTAACGGTGAGTCTTCTTGGTGAAACACAATTCATTCTCACAGAACTTCTTATCATAATTACAGATGGATACTGGCGACTTCTTCTTGGGGTAGCCAAGGGATACTCCCATGGAGGGAGCGATCAACCTCGAAGTCGCCTTGTTCTATAAAAACCAAGCTCTACAGTGAGCGGCAAAAGTCTTGACATGCTCCAATACTTCTTTAATTTTTTTTTCTTAAACACTTCTTCCTCCTCTCCTCCTCTCCTCCTTTTCAATGTTGTCTGTTGTTGGTGCAGGCGTTAAAAATGGTCATCCCCAAGTAACATTGTTTGAGGAGAGGGGGAAGGACTTTCAATTAACCTATTAGAAATAAATTATAAGATTCAGTATTGGTTGAAAAGCTAATTAAAGCACAGTATACCGACTCGGCACCACGTGAGTTTTTTATTCTCCTCAACTGAGAACTTTGCACAGTTCGAGGGTGTGACGTCTTTCAAGAAGACTTTTCAGCTCCCTAGGTTGAGAGATCAATCATCTCTTTGGATGATTAGTTTATGAATGGAAACTTACAGAGCAATAGCTTTGTTGTATTCCTGTTTCTTGCCCATGATTTCCGCCAACAGACATACAGCATCCGTATAAGTCTCGTCTTGAGCCAAGCTTTTTTCCAGCATACTGGTGGCCTTGTATAAACACATTCAAATCATGAAGTCGTCATAAAGTGCCTGGAAAAGTTTCGATTCTTTACACGGACCAATCACAAGCAATCCGAGCATGAAATTCATGAGAATTTGAGATCTCAAGTTGATTTTCTGGAAATTCTTGGCAAGAACTGTTTCTCGTTAGATGTCAAGGCGAATTTTAGTATCATTTCAACTTTTGACAGGTGAATTTATGTAGCATCGTGGTCATTACATTAGTTCCTACGGGGAGGCGCGTTACGTGAATAGTTTTTTCCCAACCATTTCACTTACCTTATCGTATTGAGACGGTTCATGAGCCATAACCGAGGCACAAAGCTACAAAAGCAAGACAATGAATTACAGTTAGAGGAAAGATTTTCTGTGCCAATCAGATCTTTGGAGCTAACGGTTCAACGTAGAAAACTATACAATGAATATATGAAGTTAATATATTTTGAACTGCGGTTATTGATAAGTATGATGCACGAGGATCGTCTATCATACGTAGAACACTATCTTACAGTTAAAGTCCGTGGGTTGGCTCCTAAAGTCTTGTGGGCGTTCTTTGCCACGGCTAAAGCTTCCTTGTGTCGTTTTGCCGACATGTAACACTCAACAAGACCTATTTGGTGAAAGAAATAGAGCGTTTTTCGAGTGAGGGTCGTAAAACAAGCTCTTTTCATTCTTCGTTGATCATCAGCTTTTGTGCTACAACAATACCGACCAAAACAAGAGACATTCTATTCGATTATCTTTAACTACTGGCAGGTAAAAAATATCCCCTCTCAGTCTGAGATTATTGATTTATAAATTTGACGATAAGAAAAATACGAAAGCGATTGGTTCTCCATTTACTCTCTCGTGACAGTCTTTTTTAACTGACCATAGCATACCGTACTTCCTCGAATAAGTGCCCACGTTACATTAAGCGCCCTACCCCGCATAAGCGCCCACCCCCTTGACCAGAATTTCAAATTAGCGCCGCCGCCCCCCTTTGAATAACTTCCCCTTCTCCCTCACTTGGCTTAATAGTTAGGGATACATAGAGAACCTGTTTCTACTATCACATAATTCATAACATTTTAAGCTTTAACTATAGCGGAATCAGCAGAGGAGAACAGTTTCTTTTCCGTTCCAGTTATTCCAATTTCCATGTGGGTGCAGAGTTCTTTGTGTGTGCTTGAATTTTTTTAAATTTTTTTTTTTTTTGCTGCACTAACCTAATAAGCGCCCCTCGATTAAGCGTTCTGCTTCCACTAAGCCGCCCCGCCCGTCCCCAACCCCCTTTTTCGCCGAAATTTGAGGTAAGCGCCCGGGCACTTAGACGAGAAAATACGGTATACCTTTGAACACGAGAGGTTTCTCGCCATATCTCTACTTCAAAGTTTCAACGTTTGGAAACTATGGACGGAAAGAAATACCTTTCTGTGCTTCAAAGTTCCACGGAGCCAGCTTCACTGCCTCGCGGAAATGTAGCAAGGCCTCCTGTTGCTTCTCCAACGCTTGTAATAAACTCGCTGAAAACATTGTAAGAAATACCAGAGCGGCAGGTATACAAGTAACTTAAAATATACGTTAGAAAATGACTAACTAAAAATACATGTAAGCTCACCTCCGGATACGAATATAGGAATTAGCGGGTCTTTCAATAACGCGAAATTTCCTACAAACCAAGCTCATTTTTTTACGTTTGCGACGATAGTGCGCCTCGTGCGTTACTTTCTTGTTCTTCCCACATTTTGACGAAGGGTAATATGGAATCTATTTGTTACGTAGAAATTTTACGTTATCTGCTATCCATACCTTTCAAAACAAGTGCTTGTACGTTACGACTGTCGATAGTGTGAGCCTAAAAGTTACAAGCATAGAATTAAATATGGAAGACAGTAAGCTTAGGGTTATTATTTACAGAAGTCAGCAAAAAAATCAACCACTACGATGCTGCTAACCTTTTGGGCAAAGTAGACAGCTCTGGGCTTTCGGTTAGTAGCATTGCAAAAATGACCCATTGCAATCCACGGTTCTGGTTTAAGTTGTGTAACTTGAATCAGGTCTTTAGCTAACCTGTAAGAAAAAAAAACAAAACAAAAAAACAAATACACAAGTCCTTAATACAATCATAGTTTCTTAAGGTCAGTCACCGTGTTCAGGACAACTTGTCAATTCTTTCCACATGGAAAAGAAGAGAGAAAAACTGTACACGAAATGCCACATTAAAATGCCACATTTTAGTGAAAGAATAATCCAAAGTTCTTATTGCCCGAACACCTTTTACCAACTGAGTCACAGTGCTAATTGGCTTTTCAAAAGCCACCTAATGCCAGATTATAAACATAGGAAACAAAACAATTTGGTTTTATCAACTGAGTTGACACCATAAAGAATTTGTAAAGAGGTCGCCAACTTACATAATTAAGTCAGCTGTCATACCCCCCACCTGTGCACCACTTAAATAAATTAAAAAGTCTTCGTGCTATACCTGATAGTAAATCATGCCGTATTTTTGCAGCAATATTTCTTTGTCTTGATTGTCTGAGTAGAGATTCGTGTCTTCTGGCAGCAGTTGGTACTCCACGTAGGTCGTCCAGCCCTCAGTGAACCCTGGGAAAAAATTTGCTTTTTCCAGCCAGTGAATCGGATCGTTGCAGCTGTCTTCAAAATACTCTATGTAGCTATGCACCTGCACAGATATAACGG